TTCCCTTGTGCTCTATTTTTGTTCCTTCTGTTGCACTTGAGAACCAGCATTCACCAGGAGACCAGAGCAGGTTGGTGCAGCTGATTCGTAAACATTTCACTGTGTTACAGAGCTGCTCTTGTTGGCAGCCCACGTTTTGTTGAATGTTGCTGTCCTCGATGACCCCACTTCTCTGTAGCTTTCTTATCTAATTTTCTTTGTTTTGTTTTGAGTTTTTACCTTTATCTGTGGACCCTGGAAAAATTGCTAAGTGTCTGGAATTGGGCAAATCAAGCCCTTTGAAATGGGTGGCCAGCTGAGATGTGGTGAACATGTCCATTTTGACCCAGATATTTTTGGTGTTATTTAACAACAGTGAAAAAATTCCTGTGCGAAGAGGTGATTCTTACTAAGCTTTGTAATTGCCACTGTGGTGTGGAACGTTTTTCTGAATCATTGTTTCATGTTTGATAGTGTAGGTGTCATGTTTGACAGATCTATTAGTGTGTGCTGTGATGCTGTGCTGAGTGGAGGCAGGCATGAGTTAACTGATTTATCTGGAAGAGGATTTGGTTTGCTGCGTGTCTTCTGTGAACAATCAATACTTAAAAGCCATCTCAGTTCAATGTACAGGCTCTCAGAGCTTGGAGTCTCTGGTAGAGGACTCTGGCAGAGCTGTCTGTGGAGGTAGCTCCTGGGTGCTGATCAGTGCCTAGGGGCTGGTGTTAGTTGTGTTATCTGCCAAGCTTAGTGTCATGGAGTAGAAAGCAACTCCTCATATCTGTGATGCAGTGACCCCATCTCTGTGATGCAGTGACCCTAACGTGGGGCCAGAGCCCAGCTGGTCATGTGCCTCCAGGCGGTGAATGAAGTTCATGCGCTTAAAAGGCTTGTTCACAAACTCACTCAGGCAAGACCTAAGTCCTCAGAACCTCCCAGTGTTCTTGAGCTTAAAAATTCATAAATGAAACCCCACACATTTAACTAAATCCAGGCAGCAGAATGACACTGCCCTAATTTTCCAGCTTGGTGAGAGGAAAAAAAAGTCATCAAGTTGGTGTTTTACTTAGGGTAATGAAATCCAGATTAAATTTAAACTTCAGTTTATTACAAGTGCCCTGCAGCCTCTTACCTAATGAGCAGAACAAGCTTTTGCCTTTTCTGAGTCCTGCCATAAACCACATTATTTCCTTAGGTAACAACTTTGGCCAAGATCTCCAGAATGTGTGTATCCCAAGCTAGAACCTGAAACACTGAAGAGTTTTTTGTAGTCCTGAAGTTGGAAAGTTAAGCACAGATTTAAGTAGTTAACTGTGGATATGGATTTATAGCTTTCAAAAAACTGTCTCGACAGGCGTGCAGCAGGGAATTAAAATGGATGGCTTGGAGCTGGTGCTACTGAAAACCTTCTGAAGGATGCAGCTGGCCAAGTCAGGGTCATCTGATGTGCCCAGTTGGCCTGGAAGGCCAATGGCATCCTGGCTTGTATCAGGAGTAGTGTGGCCAGCAGGGCCACAGGGGAGTGATTCTTGCCCTGTACTTGGCACTGGTGAGGCCCCACCTCGAGTCCTGTGTGCAGTTCTGGGCCTCTCACTGCAAGAATGATCTTGAGGTGCTGGAGCAGGTCCGGAGGAGAGCAGCAAGGCTGGGGAAGGGACTAGAGGGAAAGTCTTATAGGGAGAGGCTGAGGGAGCTGGAGTTGGTCAGCCTGGAGAAGAGGAGACTCAGGGGGGACTTTCTTACTCTCTCCAACTACCTGAACGGAGGCTGGGCTCTTCTCCCAGGCAACTAGTGACAGGACAGGAGGGCATGGCCTGAAGCTGCTCCAGGGGAGGTTTAGGTTGGATATTAGGAAGCATGTCCTCATGGAGAGGGTGATCAGACGTTGGAATGGACTGCCCAGGGAAGAGGTGGAGGCACCATCCCTGGATGTGTTTAAGGAAAGGCTGGATGTGGCACTGACGTGGTGGTGTTAGGTCATAGGCTGGACTTGATGATCTTAAAGGTCTTTTCCAGCTTTGGTGATTCTGTGATTCTGAGCCAGCGTGTGAATGGTCATGGGCTCTAGACCCACTGTTTTATGGCAAATAAAATTGGGGTGGTTGTATTTGTGCCCAGCTGCCTGCTTAAGTGTCGTCAGTGCTAACTTGATCCATCCAATTTTAATTTGCTGTCACAAGTCTCCCAGAGCATTGCAGAAGGGTGGAAGGGAGGATATTTTCCCTGATGACTGCTGTTGACATTTGCAGAATAGAAGTGAAGTCAGCCACTTGTTTGTTCAGAGGTTTGCATGCCCGTAGTGGTTCTCAGCTGGCCGGGCTCGCTCAGTGCCTGTAGCCCAGCAGGGACCTTCCCAGCAGCAGCATGGGGAAAATTGATCAAGCTGTGTTGGTGTTTCTTTTTGTTTTGAGATGTCAGTGAAACCAAAATGATGGATCATGTAATACAATTTGGAGAAGCAAATGGGAAGGTATTGTGTTCCTTGCTGCCCCCACAGAAAAAGGAAATAAGGAGATGTTAATAAACACACACAGACTCAGGGAAGCTGTGACATGGTAAAGGACTCATGGCTTTGTTTATTGACAGCGTCTTGCAGCTTTGGTTTTTCACTAATGGCAGCTCCTGCAGAAGGAAGGCAAAATTTCAGTCTTCACCCCAAATGTATAGGATGTGTTTGTGTGTGTGAAGGCTAATGTCTTTCTTCTGTTGTTTCAGGCTCAAGGTAAAAGCATCAGAATAATGTGGTTGATGGTGGTCCTGAAAAGTAGATCTTCTCTGGCTGGTTCCAGGCTCTGCATCTAATAGCAATGTAAATAACTTCTCTTTCCTAGCAGGATGGTCATGAACTTGATTTTCACAAGACTGAGCAAAGCCCACCTTTGATTTCAACAGGCTGATGTGTACTGGGACCTGAAAACATGACCACTGCATGAAAGTGGATTGTGGGGACACCAAAAGGAAAAGTGGGAATGAAGAGAGTGAAGACAGTGTAACTGAGCTGTGTTGTTAAGAACAGGAGCAGATCCAGGACAAAGATAACTTCAGTAATAAAAATGAACTGAGATTGGGAAGAAAGGAGAGATTTGAGAAAATTGCAACATAAAGATGCACCAGAAGTTATTGTAGGAAAGAAGAGGTGAAGCAGAAAAAGGGAGAGAAGTGGGAGAAGGAGGAGGAAGGGATTGCTAAGTGCAGTTAATAGCAGCACCAAAGGGAGTTTTAATTGGAAACCCATTATCATTAACCACAGTTCTGCTCCCATGCATCTTAGGAATGCACATGGCAGGTAGTTTTCCTTTTGGCTATTGCGTTGCTGATGCAGAGTGTGCTGAATTTCAAGCCAAGTGGCAGATTCCTGTTTGTGTTTACCAAGCCCAGAGCAAACACGTGAATAATGCCATTTGACAGGAGAGATGGCATTACAGACTGATTTCAGATTTTCCTGTAGCAGACGGGGAATGCACTCTGATTCTGCCCTGTCTAAAGCTGCTCATTTTAACTGTCCACGCATGAGCTCTTGTCATCTGGCAGGAAGACACTGACCCTACTTGATGCTGGAAGGGAAACCTTGACCTTGTTGGTATGACCCATGGAGGCTCCTTCTAAATCCCCTGGGGGACTTTCTAAGTAGGGAAGGGGTGAATCTGTGGCTTGTACGTTCTTTATGTCTGGAAGGATGAAAAACAACCATGGCGGGTTCCTAACATTCATTTGAACTTAGTGGTCCTTTACCTATGTGGGATGCCAGTGCCAACTGCTGGTGAGCTGCTTTGGATGATAGTGCTCCTCTAGGGGCTCTTCTGAGCAAGTCGGGCAGCTTTTTGCATGCTGATGGAGCAGGGTTGCTGTGACTGAGATGTTATGGATACATCTTTCAAATCCCTTTGGCAATTAAAATATTGAACAAGTGGAAACAAGTGGCTGCAATTTCAGTTAAAAACTGCTGCTTTTCACTCCATAGAAGAGCCATCTGAATGTAGAAAGCACAGGAGCTAGGAGGTCAGTGAGGAGGTGTGGGCCCTGAGCAGTGGAGCTGTGAAAGCTCAACTAAAGCAGGTGTACCACAGCTCTGTGTTTCTGGTGGAAGCACCTAGGTCTGTACCATCAAATCACAGATAGTTTGGGTTGGAAGGTACCTTCACAGACCATCCAGTCCAGCCCCTCTACCTTGGGCAGGGACATCTTACACTGGATCAGGTTGCTCAAAGCCCCATCCAGCCTAACCTTGAACACTTCCGGGGATGGGGCATCCACAACTTCTCTGAACAACCTGTCCCAGTGTCTCACCAACCCTCATCATAAAACATTTCTTCCCTATGTGCAATCTAACCTTGTCCTCTTGCAGTTTAAAACCATTGCCCCTTGTCGTCCTGTCATGACAGGCCCTGGAGAAAAGTTTGGCTGGCTGACTTTTAAGTCCTTTTTATATATGGCAAGGCTGCAGTAAGGTCTCAGTGGAGCCTTCTCTTCTCCAGGCTGAGCACCCCCAACTCTCTGAGCCTTTCTCTGCAGAAAGCTTTGTTTTTTATTGTGTAGGTTTGATTAGCTCATGATCTAAGTGTGGTAAGGAATGGTTTTCACCTGTGAGAAGGGGCTTCCTTGACTTACTTGATTGACTTAATCCTAATTAAGTTTGCAGATGACACTAAACTGGGAGGAAGTGTCAATTTGTTTGAAGATTTTGACTTTATGCCATCAACTGATGTAGATTTTTGAAGGAATGTGATGACAGACTCCCCTTGCTAGCCACGTGCAAGAACTGCTTTCAAATTGTTCAAGGACGCTGAACGGTAGAGGGAGATCTGTGTGCATCCATATTCTTCCTCCCAAACCATGGGTGAGATTGGTGAGCAAAACTTTGAGGCCAGCCCAGTGATTTCTTCTGCCTCTGTCCAGAGTGCACAGGTTGAGGATGAACACTTTGCAGAGGTCACTGTAGCTTCACTCTTGATGTGCAGCTGGGTGTACAACAGATGTAAAAAGTATTCAACAGTTGTCTGTTTCTTCTTTTTCACTTGTAGGTTTATTCTTCAGTCTAAAGGAGTGATTCATAATCAGCTTTTAGAAAAACAGAGAATAGCTGAAGAGAAAATCAGGGAACTAGAGGTAAGTTTTTGGCAAGAAATGATGAAAGTAGGACACTGAAGGTCAACAAGATGCTGTTTGCTACATCCTTTCCCCCCCAAACCCCCCAGTACCCTTTGTTCTAAAGGATTGTAACTAGGTAAAACATAGAGCCTGTTACAACTAGTAAGTAATCTTAATCTACAAGGAATTCATATGTCACTTGGTTTCTTTGTTACATCTGCAACCCTCCTAGGAATTGATTGTTTGCTCAGTGTCCTGGTATGAAAACTGGGGGTGAGGGATTTGAATGAGGTTTGTAAGAGCAAGGTTTAAAACTAGCAAAAGAATGTTTGTTTGGTTATTTGCAGTATATAGGTGATGTGAAACTTTACCAGTGCTGTGGATATTAAACATTTACACTGGCTGGCTCGGGACAATTGCACAAAGTCATGGAAGAGAATCCATTGAGAATTACCAAATATGTAGAAATGGCATCCTGCTCAGGAAGTCCCTGAGCTAAAAATGTCTGAAGGCTGGGAAAGTATGAGGAGGAAGTACCATGTACGCCTGCCCTGTCCTTACACTCTGCCCTAGGCATCTACTTGTGGCTGCTGTTGAAGACTGGATCTGGGTGGAGATGGGACTGTTTTGATGATGCGGTCAGAGGACTTCTGTATTCTTATGTTTTTCTGGCTGGAGTATTCAAGGCAGAGAAGAATATCTAAGAAATATAAAGTAGTGTCTGACCAAGTTCTAGTGTTCAAACAAGTTATCTAGTGAATCTTGTGTATCTTCTAGTGGCCGTGTGTACAGCTTACAGTTCTTGGGAGGATATGTGCAAAATGTTCTTTTCCAAGGCCCTTAGTGTATTTTTTTCAATGCCCCTAAAGTATAATTAATACAAAACCCTGTTCCTTGGTTTTTGGAGAATGACAGAGAGCAAAGCCGGAGTTGTGTCAAGCTGCTTATCTTAACTGTTAGTGTTTTGGAAAGTGAGTGTGGAGACGAGCTAAGCAGGGACAAGCAGGAATAGGAAGTCAGTGCTCAAACCTGTGCAGTCCTGTCTCTGTTATCTCCTACTTAGACTAAAGCAGAAGCAGACTTTGTATTTTTTTAATTCCTTCTTAAAACTTAGCTTGCCTGGGAAAGCTGTAGGGCAAGCACATCACCATATGTTGTGTTGCATGGAGTGTTATCTGTGCCAGATACTAAGGGGGTTTGTGTTCCTGGCTATGAGAACTTTTTATGCACAGGGAAAACAAGTACTTCATGGATAGGTTATGTATTTAAGGTGATGTTAATGCAGACAAGGCACCGTTATTTTTATGGTTATGTGATAAAAGTGATTGTATCCTGGCTCCTCTGGAGCCATCCTTGATGCTACTGTCTTTGTGCAGAGACAGCCTTGTGCCTGGGGTTGGAGAAATTCAGAGCAGCATGTCTGGATTTGGAAGTGGACTGTGGTTGACAGCCTCTTTACAAACTGCCCTTCTTTACTGCCAGGTCCATTGGGCTGTAGTCAGCTTTTTGGCCACTGTGCCCTTCAGCTGTGCATCTCAGTTTCTTCCTGTTCCTTGTAGGCAGTGATCTTGACTCCTGAACTTTCTGATTGCTGAGTTCAGCAGAATGGATGGAATTTCCCCCAAATTACAGTCTTTGCCATTCTTACCCAAAGCCCCAGAGCTGGCTTCATCTCAAATGTGTTTTTCTGCTTTGTAGCTCCTTGTTGCTTGAGTGGCCACTGGGTTGAAGTTTGCAGTGATAGTGACTGTCTCAAAAGGTGGTGGTGAGTGGAAAGGTGGTTGCCACCACCTTTTTAAACATGGATAGTGGGGCTCAGATTGCCAAACCTTCCAATGGTTTGCTTTAAGTGGCCATTCAAATCCATATTCTAACTTCTCTGCTTCCAGCAGTTTTGTGAAAAGGATTTTCTTTAGACTTGGGATTCCCATGGAAGAGGACAAGCTTTTAGACTGCAAACTGAGATTTTGGGGGGAAATACCTGAGTCCAAGTCAGATAGCACTTACCACAGGAGTATGGGATTTTGCTGTCCTGAAAACAAGTTGTGACAGAAGCAGGAAAGAATGTGAAACTTTGTGACCTTGGCTTCCACTGCATCATTGTAAAATAAATACCAAACCACGATAGGTTAAAACTTCCCTCTATTCATTATTAAAACTGAACAGACTTTAAAGTTTAGATTTATATTTTACATTGTTAACTACCTTGTTCCTTACTTGGATTTCTCACTTTGCTTAGTTAATCAAGCTGGTCAGAGTAACCCTCCAGTATCCATATGGTTTGGCTGATCTGGTTACTTATGTAGTGTGAGCTTGAGATGGTTGTGCTTTGCTATTATAACACTATTGCAAAGGTATTGTGAAATGTTGTTTGATACAAGCCTGACTCTGAGAGACACTCTCACCACTAGCTTGGTTCTGTGTGCAGAGGAGCACAGCACAGAGGGCTGGGCTCACTTGTGAGCTCTTCTGTAAATCCATCCAGCTGCTTAGTAAGAAGAGCTCCTGAGTGCTGACTGTTCACAAAGATGTGGGCTTTAACCTGTCCAGAGGTGGGATCTCGGTTTCCTGACATTGACAGCTGTCAGTGTGAACTTAAACAGTGAGGGGTTTTGTGTCTACTTGGAAAGCTTTTCTCCCTCTTCTGATACTCTCCACAGCAATGCATGATTGCAGTTATTGCCAGTGATGCATTGCCTTTTTCAAGGCAGCATGGCAACATTTTTGTGATACTGCTGGTTTGATCCTCCTTGGTGCTCATTATGTGGCAGAGCAGCAAGGAGAACCAGCCCTGTCTTTGTACAAGGCTGTGAAAATAAGGCTTGGCTGAAATACACATAGGATGTAGTCAGTGAGAGGAACTGTGGTCTGAAAGCATCAAAGGGGCATGGATGTGCATGAGGGGCCCAGTGCATAGCCTGTTGGCTCCTCTGCAAAAAAAGCAAGGTAGCTTCACCCTTCTTGTTAAAGCTAAGGTATGAATGTGAATGTATTTATGACCATGTGTAGCATTCTTAACTTGACAACTTGTGTGTAATCCTTTGGAGTTCAAATAGGCTGTCCAGGCTTGTTGGCAAAATACTGTATGAAGGCTGTGCCAGCTAGGCTGATAGAAACCTGCCTGAGGGGGGCAAGGACTGATGGCACATGCTCCTCGCCCACCGCCATGGGCAGCCTCCTGCTTAGCAGCAGCAAAGGGATTTTTCCAGTCCTGATACTATCAAATTCTTGTTGTGTTTCACAGGACAAGGGGTATGTGTTAAATCTATTTTGAAAGCATTCTAAAGGGATGAGCACAGACTCTTTTTAGCTCAGCAATGTTTATGCAGTATTAGGAGAAAAACCAAGTAATGTTTTTCTTCCCCTGTTTTTAAGGAAACATGATATGTGAGGGGTGGAACAATGCTTTGTTTCAGGAAATATTATCCGTTTCCATTGTAGGGCTAGATGGATTCTGTTTTTAAATGTGGCATTTTTAAAAGAACAAACTCTATGATGTTAGAAAGACATGGAAAATTGATTCTTCATTAGGGGTGGAGAAAGTGATTATTCCTGTGTGTTTTCTCTGATAATATCAGATAGTCCCCTTCTCTTCTGCTATATTCAGCATGTTTAGTTGTCAGGCGTTGTCAGACTAAATTGCTAAAAATAACAAATAAGGGGGAGGCTCTGCTGGGCAGCTCTGTCTACTCTGTGCCACTGAATTTAGCTCCTTTGTGAAAAGAGCAAAAGCAGCCTGCGACTTTCTGGTTGAATTGGATTTTGATTTTAAATTCTGACCACAACCTTGTTGTGTGCATGTTTTCTAGACAATTCTTTCATGCTTGTATGGGAGACTGAAAGTTTATTGGTGTGGAGATAAAGGACTGGTTATTTTCTTCTCTGCCTGCAGTAGAAAATAGCTAAGCGCTTGATTTCAAACTCAGAAACCCATCACGTGATCCCTAAAATGCCACGTCCAGTTGCCCTGTCCTATATAGAATACTTCTTTGCTCTCAGTCTTGGTGGAGAAACAAACCTCCCGCCCTCAAACATGTAGAGGCTCAGATGGTGTTGCAGGGCTCCTTGCTGGTAAAACGTGGCTCCCATGCAGTGCCTGATGGTGACCAGGTGTCAGAGGTAGCACACTTCTTCCCTGGTGCTGCTTGGATTCAAACTTGCTTGCGCTGCAGCTTCCTTTTCTCTAATCTTCTTTCTCTAGGAGCTTTAGAAGGGCTTTGCTGCAGCCCTGGGGTGGAATGGTGGTGCCCCCCTTCTCGATGAGTCAACCAGGGTGTCTCCAGTGGTTGCCACTGAGTGTTTTCCTGCCCCGTGGGAACAAAGATTTAAGCAGGCGAGGTGTGGCTGGGGGGATGTGCTGAACTTGAGTGCTGATGTTCTCTGGGCAGGTATGGCTGGGATGGACCTGCTGGGTCTGGCAGGGCACTGCTGAGGTGCTCCCATGGCAGCGCTCTGGGCGGCCCTTCAGTTTTTACGCTGAAACTCTTAGCGTGGAGTCTAGCTCTGAGGGTGGCTTTAACGATGTGAAAACAGGCCTCTTGAGATTTGTGGTGTGCTTCACAGACCACTAAGCAACCATCAGAAGGTAGCAATTGTTTGGCTGTTCACAGGTTAGACCAATTTCTTCCTGGGAATTGCAGTGTAGAAGCTCTCATCCCATAGTTGGCTCGGGATAGGCCAGTGCCCAGGAATGTGTGGTGGGCTTTTTAAATAAACAGGGGGAAATAAGGAGTGTTTCTGTTTGCTTTGGAAAGGGGAACCCTCAAGAATAGCCCTCTGTGCTTCAGCTCGGGGCAGATTTTACTTGGGATGAGTGTGCTGTTCTGTCATTCCATTGCTGGCATACGTGCACGTACCGAGGAGGTGGTTTTAAACGTGTGTTGTCCCAGAAGCTGCCCCTTGTTTCTAAGCATGTGCAGAGACAAGGTCAGTCCCTGGCTTGGTTTTAGCTCTGTTGGCTTTATGGCCTGATCTGCTCTAAGGAAGGCTGGTGGCTTCTGTTGCTGTTGTTTTTGCAG